TCATTAAAATTCCCATTGAGGAGTTGGCTGTATCTTTAAAATGGGAGATGTTGGGAAAGCTTACAGAGATTGGGCAACAGAAAGGTAAAGGGTGATGTGTCAGAGGGTAGAGTGTGGTGGTTGCACAAAGGAGAGGGAGGCACAGTTCCTGGGAGAAGAGACTGGTGGGATGTAATCCGAGACTGAAGGAGATCAGGGGTTTATCTCAAGCCTGCTTTTGTTTTTGGATGGATCACTGCAGCATCACAGATAAGCACATTTTATTCTGAAAAGAAAGGCAGACATTATCTTCAGATGTAATGAGCATATTCTTTTACTGATGAAAGCAGGGAAAAAAAAGTGGTTCATGATCACTCCACAGTGATGATCATGGGGAAATTTAGCCAGTATTTTATGTCCCTGGCACATAGCAGGTGCTTAGTTAATATTCATTGAGCAAACACAGGAACAAAGGGTTGGTACCCTAGCAAATGCCTTCCTGGAAGGGGATTGGGCAGTGAGTTGGTTGCACTGTATTGGCTCTCGGTCTGTCAGAGACCTGAGTCACCGAGAGGGTTCAGAGGTGACACAGAGAGGGATAGCGTGTGGCCACACACCGGGTGATTTCTGACTCAGGTATTGAGACAGTCACATGTGCCTACTGGTGAAGCACTTCTCTCCAATAGTGGGGTCTGTGGTCTCCAGAGAAGGTCCGGGCTCTGTGAGATGCTCCCCAGAGTGGATCACTGCCATCATCCCCCACATCCCTTCCTACTTAGCAAGTGCCAGCAGGGCGTGGAGGGTACACCATGGTCTTTGTCTCCATGGAACACACATCACAGTCACAAAGGTAGTCTCTTTCTTTCTGTGCATGTGTGCCAGACGCATTCTTTCTGTTTCTATATGCCAGGTTCTATGTTGAGTCTTTACTGAATCATCTCATTTCATCTTCACCGTGAGATCAGGGGGAGGTTCAGTTCAATCCCCAATTTCTCCAACACAAACCCGAAGGCTCTCAGTTAGTGTGTGGCAGAGCCAGGATTTGAACCCAACCTGTCTGCCTCAGTTGCATTAGTTCCTACTGCCCTAGCCTTTGCGAATCAGAGGAGGGGATCCAATCAGACAAGAGGAGGGGATCCAATCAGACAAGAGGACGGGAGAAGGAAACCAGCAGTGCCTGAGGCCCTGTGTCTATATGGCTGTTTCTGAGCTCTTTAAGGGGAGAAAGTGCTTGTCCATCTCCTCACAGTGTGGTTGGTGGGCTGGCTGGACCATCTCCAGGGTTGCTTGGTCCCCCTGCTATTCTGCTAAGAGACTCTACCCATGTCCCAGAAATTTGAGGAACAATGTACAGCTTTGGGAGAAAAGGGATTGGTCGAGTTTCTCTTTAGGTTCAATCCTGGCAGTGGGAAGGCAAAAAAGCAAATGACAGAAGCAGACTCCGTGTTGCCAGTGACCATGTGCACTTGCATCCTTTCTTCCTTAGACTATTGCTATTTGGTTGTTTAAGTAAGGATGCAGGAGAACCATTCATAGCGCTGAGGTGCCCAGGTCTGGAGTAGTGAATTAATATGGCCATCCCACATCACAGAGTAGAAATGTAGGGAACATCCATACAAACGCGGAAGTGAAAGAGAGCAGCTGGGAGCTTGGAAGCAGCTCCAAGGCAGGACACCCTTGGTGTCCCCTGGAGGAGCTCCGGGGTAGCGTGGTGAGCTTGCACAGCCAGCGGGCCCCCTGGCAAGCTGCCTGGGGTGCACTGTTCCTTCACACGGCTGAGCCAGCTCCCTTTGGTGCTGCAGACCAGATTGCTCAGTGTAGCTTTATCCTGATGCAGTCAAGGGAAATTAGTCAACTGCAAGCTTGGATGATGCCACTAACAAGCTGGCAGGGGTTCAGAAGAGCAGATTCCTCCACTGTGGCCCCAGCTCATACAGCGAAGGCAAGCATGGTTTTGATTACTGCACATGTTCCTCCCTGATGAGGGCGAGAACTTCTTGGTCTTCTTTACTTTTAAGTCCTCTCCACGGCCCCCCACAGGCACAGACCTTTGCATTAGCAAAGCAGTTTCAGGTCTGTTGCCTCATTGGATCCTCACAGGGACCCCTGGAGGATAAACAGAAGATGAATTATCACCTTCTTATGCATAAGAATCCGGGATCAGAGAGGTTTAGTGACTTTCCCAAGGCCACACAGTGAGTACATGGCAGAGGTGGGAACTGGATGTGTATCCTGACTCCCAGCTCAGAGTGTACACCACAAGAATCAACTTTGAGAGTGTGTATTAGGCAGAACACAGATGAAGTGTTTACATTTATCTGGGAAATGGAGTTGGAAAGTTTTTGGCTGCAGGTTATTAAACAACTGACTGAAGGCTGCTGCAGCATCTAGGTATCTCCTATTCTCAGGGGAGAGCCTGAGGGCCGGCAGCGGTAGTGGCTCAGCAGTATCCTCAGGGACCCACACTGGCTCCCTTCCCACTCTGTCTTCCTTGAACTTCGCTCTCCACTTTTCATCTTGTCCCCTCATGGTTACAAAATGACTTGCAACTGCATAAGAGCATCCCAAGTGCGAAAGAAGGCATGGGTATAGAGGAGAAAATAATTCATTGAAACTGCCCAGAAAACTACTCCTTCAAGTTTCATTGGCTGAAAATGAGTCACTTGACCAACCCTCGCGGCAAGATAGGCTATGTAGGCATGCATCCAGCAGAGGGGTCTGGATAGCTGTGATTGGTTCAGACTGTTATGCTTTAGGTTTTAGGAATAGACATATTGTCACCCTGAACCAAATCAGTCAACAGCGGGGGTAGAGGCAGCGGGGAGGGCTGTTTTATTCTCTTCAGTCCAATATGAACTGAAAACTTTGGGGAAGCTCTTCTTCAGGTTGGACTGTGCACTCTCTTTACGGACCCTGAGATGATGTTCTGTTTGGTCATGAAATGTTACGCTCCCATTTGTCAATGGCGCATTTCAGAACTGCGTGAATGTATTTTTTCCTCCATCCTTCACCAGAAGAGATCTAAGCTCTAAGACCGTGTGGAGCTATACTTTTTCAAATGCTTTTGTATGTCTACACTAAGAACAAAGGTTAAAGAAGGAGCAAAAGCCAGGTTGGTGAGAAACATAGAGGGTTGGGGATCAGAGAGGAGGCAATGGGGGTGTGGTCGTCCTGAAGTCAGAGACTGTGAGGTTAGAGCAGGGGTCCTCAAACTTTTTAAACCGGGGGCCAGTTCACTGTCCCTCAGACCGTTGGAGGGCCGGACTATAGTTTAAAAAAAAACTATGAACAAATTCCTATGCAGACTGCACATATCTTATTTTGAAGTAAAAAAACAAAACGGGAACAAATACAGTATTTGTATTTGCATGTGGCCCGCGGGCCGTAGTTTGAGGACCCCTGGGTTAGAGTCTAACGGTAACTGTTAGACTATCTGGGATTGAATTTGGACTCCACCCCTTATGTATGACTTCGGACAAGTTGGTCATCCTTGCTCTGCCCCAGTTTCCCTATTTGTGAAGGGAAAGCAATTGGAAGGGCTTCCCACATGAGGCTGAAATGTCGTGTGGATGAAGTCTAGCCTGTGTCTAGATGAAGTGTTAGTATGATCACTACTCCGACTTGCTTATAAGCACCTTAGCACGTGGAACCCGATGAGTCTCCATAGCTGTAGCAGCAGCTGCTGGTCTGGTCCTCTTGAGTCATCTCTGCAGTGTGTCCAGAGCAGTTGTCCCAGGCTCATCGCTTTATTTCCCTCACACCCCTGCTCACAGTCCTCCATGGTCCTCTGTGCCCTCAAGCTTAAAGTCCAAACTCCTTAGCCAGACTTTGCATGAGATCTGGGCCTGTGAGATGGTTCTCATTCCTTCCCTCAGGAAGCCGGGCTAGGCCTTTGGTCCATGAAGAAGTGCCCTGACACTCTCATTGAACAAATTGTTCCTAGGCACCTGCTGCAGGCTCAGCCCTGTGCTGTTACAGGGAACACACAGAAATCAGGCATGGATTCTTGCAATGTGGCCCCACCTTGTGGTGAGGGAACCAGGCACCAGGTAACTAGGACTTGGGAGGATTCAGGAGAGGGGCTACAGTGGAGGCAGGAATGAGCTGAGCTGGAGGATGAGCAGGAGTTAGCCAGCAGATGCCAGAGTGAGGGGATTAGGGCTGGCTGTGCTGAGTTCATGGGGGAGGACTACTGAGTTAAGGTGCTAGGAAGGTCAGCAGATGCCAGGGTCCAGAGCCTTGCCAAGGCCTGGGCAGGTTCATCTGAAGAGCAGTGGGAGCTGTGAATGGGGTTGCTGGGAGATGACATAGTCCGGTTTATAGTTTGGAAGGACAAGTCTAGCTACAGTGCAGAGAATCATGCTGGATAAGAGAAATGAAGAGAAGGACACTCACATTTTAACTTCCTAGTTGTGAGCTTTGGACAAACTCAAATGGTCTTATTCTGTGTATTCTGGGATCAATCATGATTGGAAGGCAGGCATTGGCCTGTGTGGAAGGTGGTGTCACTGTGCATGAGTAATGTCGTGGCCAACACCTGCGCAGCCCCCCAGAGTGCCCAGGGAACATCAAGGCCTCTCCTCTATTCTGGCCTCATACACCTGTGACCCACACGTGCTTCCCTGGCTCCATGAGGCCACAGGCAGGAGCTGCAGGTCTATTCGCCCAAGTCTGGGACACCCTTTGGATCCCACATGGGCCGTGTGCTGTCAGCCATGCCCAGAGAGCCCCCATATCTGGAGCTACCCCTGAAGGATTATCATTTAACTCTGTACACCCTGAACACTGCCAGACCAACACGTGCTCGAGAAGTTTCTTCTTCAAACTAGAAAAGAATCAAGGCCGTCTTTGGCACATAAGCATGATTTCTCCAGGGTCACCAATTGGAAAAGCCACCTTAGGTGAATGAATTGAGCCTGTGATCATGCTGCTTTTCTGTTGGTGCATTTGTAGCCTTAAATTATTACATTGGACCCTTTAAATGCTTAATTGTTTCCTTTGGCTGTTTCTTCCCTCTGCAGTATAACGAGGAGCTTCACTACGTGGAACCTTGCCTGAATGGAACGTTGGTGCAAGCCGACAGGACGAACAAGGAGGTAAGGCCTGCTGCTGGGCGGGCACATCATCACTTAAAATAATTATGTCTTAACCTTTAGAAACTCATCAAATGCTCTGCTCTTTCATTGCGGGCCTCAGAACCCTTGTGTGTGAACATTTAGGAAGAGGCAGGAGGAAATCATGGCAATACAATGATCGCATGGATTTCAGATGCTTGCTAATGCCGAAACAATTGCATTGGTTTTCTCTTTCTCTTGCTCTAAGCACATCCTCTATTGTGCTTGGCACCTGGGTTGACACCATTGAAAAAATATGACTGTTGCTGAGATTTTAAAGAAAAATTTAAGTCACTTGGTATATTATTATTGCTTTTAATATAATTGATTAAATAAGTGTTGAGGTAGCTATTGGGGTAACTTGTCTCCCAGGTTAGAAGGTAAACTTAACAAGGATAGAGATGATGTTTGCTCTCTGCTGTATCTTTAATGCTCCAAGTATTGCCTGCCCCCTAAATATTATGGAACAAAAGGAAGACAGGTTAAAGGAGTACCTTAAGAAATGAGGTAGAAGTTCACCTTCCAGTTGGAGCATCCTAGGAAAACAGCCAGAATAGATTTATATAAAAATAAATATTTCCTTTTGGCCATCTTTAAATTAGTACAACCACCACTGCTACCAATACTACTCCTACAGGGCCAGGTGACAATTTAGGCTGAAGGTGTAGCTGCGATGACAACAATGTCATACCTCCTGGGACTCATAGCTGCTGTTGCTCACATTTGTTTTGTTGTGAGCACATGTTGTGCTCACATGTGAGCACATGTGTTGTGAGCACATCTAACTGCCAGATAGATACAATAAAATGATGCACCTGCCCTGGAGTGCAGACCTATGAGGTGGCCGAGGACAGTGGCCAAGGTAGGCCTCTGTGAGGCACTGTGCATGGGCGGGGAGACCCCCTGGCCCAAATGGGAGTGACACTGGTGCTAAGATGCAGGTGGTAGAAGCACCCGGTTGGGCATCTCTGCGGAAGTGAAGGACAGAGGATTTAGAACACAGGTGAGAAGGAAAACATACCAGAATTGACATCCAAGCTTCAATTTGAAGGGGAATAAATACCATAGCAAGCGTTGTTCTTAGGAGAGAGGAGCAGGTACATTGTAGATCAAAGAACAAGTGTATCTAGGGAATGTTGGTTTATGGCCATTTTCTAGGCTATCGTAGGAAAAAATGACATAAACCTACAAGCGAATTTTCCTAGGGGCTTTCCCTTTGTTTGGTCTTTGCCTGGGTCTGGTTACATTTCTTCCCCAATATAGCAGCATTGGAATATTTCCAAACCTCAGATAGGTGTCCAGTGATGGAGCTTTTGACATTAAATGGAAAAGATGCTTCAGCCCGGCCAGCGTGGTTCAGTTATTGAACCACCTATGAACCAGGAGGTCATTGTTTGATTCCCGGTCAGGGGACATGCCCAGGTTGCAGGCTCAGTTCCCAGAGTGGTCTGTGCAGGAGGCAGCTGATCAATGATTCTCTCTCATCTCATCATTGATGTTTCTCTCTCTCTCTCTCTTCCTTTCTGAAATCAATAAAAATATATGTTTAAGAAAGATGCTTCAAACGATTAAGGCCTTTCTTTAGGTAACTTCCCAATAAACAGAGCTAGTTTGATATTTGGAGACACAAAGTCTTATGATTGAAAAACTTGTTAGAGAAGGTGGGATAAAAATTTATTTAAAATTCTCTTTGATTGTATGGGTATTGAAGACGGGAGTAGTTTTGAATATAAAAATTAATCCAGACTCTGATTCTGCCAGTATGGAGTAGCCACATTTCAATTAGACTTTCCCCCTTACAAATAGAAATCCCTGTACATGACCTAATCTAATGACATGGAGGTGAGCTCCCTGGATTTCCATATTGATTCCCATATGACCCGAATAGAGCAATCCAGATGACTCCCTCCTGAACCAGCAATAGACACACACGGACACACACACACACACACACACACACACACACAAGTTTCAAGAAAAACTAAATGACCAGGAGAAAGGTGGTGTATCCAAGAAAACCTTTGAGACAACACCTTTCCTATTTCAGCCAAACACCAATGGTACAACTCTAGACAACTCTCCATAGCTTCAGTGGGGCTGAACAGAGAGTTGACTTTCCATCCCACTGATACCCACATGGTTTTGTGCTACACTTCAACAGAGACAAAATGTTAAGAAAAATGATGAAATAATACTGAGTCTTATAATATACTAGAGGCCCGGTGCACAAAAATTTGTGCACTCGGGGGGTGGGGGGGGTCCCTCAGCCCGGCCTGTGCCCTCTCACAGTCTGGGACCCCTCGGGAGATAACGCCCTGCTGGCTTAGGCCTGCTCCCTGGTGGCAGAGGGCAGGCCCAATCCCTAGGTGCAGCCCCTGGTCGGGATCAGAGCAGGGCCGACTGGGGAGTTGGGGTGCCGCCCCCTGTCATGCACAGAGCAGGGCGATCGGTAGGTTGTGATGCCACCCTCAGTCACGCTCAGGGTAGGGCTGATTGGGGGGTTGGGGCACCGTCCCCTGTCACACTCAAGGCAGGGTCGATGGGGAGGTTGAGGCGCCACCCCCTGTCACACACAGAGAAGGGCCAATCAGGGGGTTGGGCACCGCCCCCTGTCACTCACAGAGCAGGGCCAATCAGGGGGTTGGTGCGCTGCCCCCTGTCACGCACAGAGCAGGGCCCATCAGGGGGTTGGGGCGCCGCCACTCTAACACTCAGGGCAGGGCCAATGGGGAGGTTATGGCTCTACCCGGTCACACACAGAGCAGGGCCCATGGGGGGGAGGGGGAGGTTGGGGCGCCGCACCCTGTCACACACAGAGCAGGGCCCATCAGGGGGTTGGGGCGCCGCACCCTGTCACACACAGAGCCGCAGGGCGATCAGGGGGTTGGCGAACTCCCCCTATCAGGCACAGAGCAGGGCTGATCAGGGGGTTGGGGCACCTTCCCCTGTCACAAACAGAGCAGGGTGGATAGGGAGGTTGTGGCCCCTCCCACTGTCACACACAGAGCCGCAGGGCGATCAGGGGGTTTGGGCGCTGCCCCCTGTCATGCTGATCCTGGTGCCGGGAGGCCTCGCGACTCCGCTGATCCCAGTGCTGGGAGGCATATTACCCTTTTACTGTATAGGGTAGAGGCCTGGTGCACGGGTGGGTGCTGGCTGGTTTGCCCTGAAGGGTGTCCTGGATCAGGGTGGGGGTCCCCACTGGGGTGCCTGGCCAGCCTGGGTGAGGGGATGATGGCTGTTTGTAGCTGGTCACACTTCCTTCAGGGTGGGGGTCCCCACTGGGGTGCCTGGCCAGCCTGGGTGAGGGGATGATGGCTGTTTGCAGCTGGTCACACACCCTTCAGGGTGGGGTTCCCACTGGGGTGCCTGGCCAGTCTGGGTGAGGGGCTGAGGGCTGTTTTCAGGCTGGGGGTGACTGAAGCTCCCAACTGCTCCTTTTTTTTTTCTTTTTTTTTTTTTTTATTTTGGGCCAGCTTTAGCTTTGAGGCTTGGCTCCAGCTCTTAGGCCTCCGCTGCTGAAAGTAGGTTTCTGGCCTTTGCTTACAATGTTGCGATTCTGCTGGCTGAAGCCTGGGACTGAAGCAGGTTTCTGGGGTTTTGTTTAGCTTCTATATTTGTTATATAGTTGCTTAGAGTTGCAGCTCAGAGGCCTGCAGCAGCAGCCGGGGAACGTTGGAGTCCTCCGTCACTGAAGCAAGCAAGCCTCATGTTAGTTTCAAGCTGCCTGTCTGCCGGCCGCCATCTTGGCTGACAGTTAATTTGCATATTGCCCTGATTAGCCAATGGGAAGGGTAGCGGTCGTACGCCAATTACCATGTTTCTCTTTTATTAGATAGGATAGTCTAAATGCTCAGAATGCAAAAAAACATTCCTTGTAATCCAAGAACTAGAAAAATCATAATATGAGTGAGAAGAGACATTAACATAAGCTAATATTGACATGAATCAGATGTTGAAATTATCAATTGCTTCAACAAGCAGTTAGGAATTCTCTTGAAGCAAGCAAAGAAATAAAACATCTCATCAAAGAAATAGAAGTGATAAAAAAGAACTCAATGGAAATTATAGAACTGAAATATACAGTTACCAAAATAAAAAGCTACCTGGATCAGCTCACCAGTAGAGTGGAGATGACAGCAGGTAAAATCATTGAACATTAGGATAGATCAATAGAAATTAACCAATCTGAAGAGCAGAGAGAAAATGGACTGGAATGAACTGAGTCCCAGGGACATGTGGACAATAACGAAAGGGCAAGCAGCCAGGTCATGAAAGTAGAACTCGATAGATGTTTGAAGATGTATTGACTGAAAACTCCAAATTAATAAAAAGCATAAACATATACATTCAAGAGACTAAGCAAATTCCAAATAGGATAAACCCAAGTAAGTCAATGGCAAGACATATGATAATTAAATACAATTAGACAAAGGGAAAAAACTTGATAACAGCCAGAGAGAAAAGACGTGTTACTCAAATTACTCATTTGAATGATACTAAATTTCTCATGTGAAATCATGGCGACCAGAAGGAAGTGGCATAGTATTCTTCAAATACTGAAAGGAAAGAACTGTCAACTCGGGATTCTGTATTCAGTGAAAATATATTTTATGAATGAAGGGGAAATGAAGACATTCTCAGATGACTGAAAGCTATGAGAATTTGTTATCAGCAAATCAACACTTAAAGAATGGCTAGAGAAGTTCTCCAAACATAAAGGAAATAATAGGAAAAGAATTGAAACTGCAGAAAGGAAAGAATATTGGAATAGGTAAAAATAGGAGTAAGTATAATAGACTTTCATAATTCTCAGGAGATTCTTAAATCATAATTGATAGTTGAAGCAAAATTTAAATAATTATATTTTTAAAGTATGGAGGGTGAAGGAATCTAATTTCTACATTTTTATAGGATTGATACATGCTGATACCAGTAGATTGGGACAGTTACATATTTTTAATAACTAGAGCAACTATAAA